GGGGGGGGACAATCGACAGGACGCACATCCCCATCCATGCCCCGGACCACCAGGCCTTCCTCTACATTAACCGCAAGGGGTACTTCTCAGTGATCCTGCAGGCTGTGTCTGACCACCGGGGCCAGTTCACGGACATCAATGTGAACTGGTCCGGGTGTACCGCAACTCCTCTGTGTGCCAGAGGCTGCACGCTGGGACTTTCTTCCCCGACTGCCACATCAGGCTCGGGGACGTGGACATGCCAGTATGCTTGCCCCAGGGAAAACGGGGGGGGGGGCAGGTGGTGTAAGTGCCCTCTCTGGGAGGGGTCGGACTGTCCCAGCCATGCTACAGAACGCCCGCAGTGGCCAGGATTGCAGCGGGGGTGGCTCTTGGGAGTGGGGCAGTGATTTAGATGCCTCCTCACCTGCCTCGACTTCTCCGAGCACAATATGCCGCACGTGGTGGCAGCATGCTGTGTGCTCCACAATTTATGTGAGAGGAAGGGGGAGGCTTTCCTGTCAGGCTGGATGGCAGAGGGTGACCACTTGGCTGGCCAGTATGCACAGCCCTGCAGGGCTGCCGGCCGGGAGGCCCTTCGGGGGGCTGTCCGCATCCGGGAAGCCCTGCGGGAGAGCTTCCAGGCGGACGAGGATTGAAGTCCCCCTGGTGTGCCCCACTGGAGCCTGGGACCTTACATTCCTCCCCCACATCTTTCCCCTTCCTAACCCCCCTTCCTGATCTACAATAAAAACACCTGTGTGGCCACAAAAAAAGGTCTTTATTTCACATAACTGGGGTGGGGGAAGGAGGGGAATGAGGGCAGGAGAGGGGAGGGGGAAAACCTGGGAGGAGGGAGCTGGAAGGGGGAGGCAAGGGGAGGAAGGGGTGGGGAAGCTCAGGATTGGAGGTCTTGCTGGCTCTCCCAAGATTTGGGAGTGCGGACTACACGCGGCACAGAGTAGGTAGTTCGAATTAGGCTTTCTCGTTCCAAGATTTGGTGGTGATGGGGGATTTCAACTATCCAGATATATGTTGGGAAAATAACACAGTGGGGCACAGACTATCCAATAAGTTCTTGGACTGCACTGGAGACCACTTTGTATTTCAGAAGGTTGAAAAAGCTACTGGGGGGAAGCTGTTCTAGATTTGATCCTAACAAATAGGGAGGAACTGGTTGAGAATTTGAAAGTGGAAGCAGGAGCGGCCTGAGGCCGGCTGCAGCAGTTGGCGCCCTAGGTGGGTCGACGCAATCGGCGCCCCTGTCTGAACGGCCGTCAATGGCCGGGATGTCATTGTGACGGACTGGGCCGTGTCCGGGCACAGCTGAGGGCGTCCGCTCAGGGCGAATTGCTCAAATCCGGGGCTCCTTACAGCCCCCAGACTGGTGACCTCTCCAAACAGGCCACAAACCAGTCCCACAGAGTGCTTCATCTGCCTGCCTGAAGCCTCACGAGAAAAAACCCCTCCGACACCCCAGCAATATCCGTGCCTCAGATGGCCCCGGGCCTCATACACCGGTGGGGGGTCCTAGCACCAATCCCACCTACCCCGAACAAGTTCTGTCCGGTTCCAAGAAACCAGCCACAGGTCCCTGGTCAATTTACCCTTTGGACCTTACCCACAAATCACGCTGGGCCAATCCTTTAGCATCTAACAACTAAAGGTTTATTATCACAAGAAAGAAAAGCATGAGAGTAAGGTTGCTAAAGAATCATACATTACATGCATCAAATCTTCCAGTCCTCGATGCAGGCTCTAGCAGAGATGTTACAGCTGCTGGCTTAAAAGTTCTTGTTGCACATCCTAGAATCAGGATGGGTTCACAGGTCTTTCCGGCTCTTTGATCCCTGCAATGCTGCCTCTGGGATGAAGTGCTGAGCTGAGAACAAGATGGTGTCAACCACATGGCCTCTTTATACCCCCTTCCTGGTCCCTTCTTGGCTGTAGCAGGTCACCTGGCCAGGGGCCAATCTCTGTGCTCCCTGCTGGCAGCTCTCAGGTGACAGCCCCCATTCTTTAGGTGTGTCCTTGGCCCATTGAGTGCCATTGTCCCACAGGGCCTCACTAATTAGCATGTCAACAGGCCCGGCCCTGCCCAATGCTCAACCACATGCAGGGAAATCTTCAGTATCCACACAAGTACATGCTAATAATTGCACACACAGACATTATACAAACACATGAACAGTGTACATAGACAGTAAGCTTCTATTCAATACCTCACATGGCCCCTTTCTATACCATTTTTGGGGCCAACACCCCCACCTATGGGTGCATCAGTGATCTGGCTGCTCCCCTCAAGATCCAGTAACGTGACAGTCATAATCGGGTGCCCAGGCCAGAGGCGCCCTAGGCAGCTGCCTAGCTTGCCTAGGCTCATGGGCCGCCCCTGAGTGGAAGGCAGCTTGGGTGAAAGTGATCATGAAATCACAGAGTTCACAATTCTAAGGAAGGGTAGAAGTGAGAACAGCAAAATAGAGACAATGGATTTCAGGCAGGTGGATTTTGGTAAGCTCAGAGAACTGATAGGTAAGGTCCCATGGGAATCAAGACTGAGGGGAAAAACAACTGAGGAGAGTTGGCAGTTTTTCAAAGGGACATTGTTAAGGGCCCAAAAGCAAGCTATTCCGCTGCATCGGAAAAATAGAAAATATGGCAAAAGATCACCTTTGCTTAACCACGAGATCTTGCATGATCTAAAAATAAAAAAGGAGTCCTATCAAAAATGGAAAGTAGGACAAATTACAAAGGCTGAATACAGGCAAACAACACAGGAATGCAGGGGCAAGATAAGAAAGGTAAAGGCACAAAATGAGCTCAAACTAGCTACGGGTATGTCTACACTACCCCGCTAGTTTGAACTAGCGGGGTAATGTAGGCATACCGCAATTGCAAATGAAGCCCGGGATTTGAATTTCCTGGGCTTCATTTGCATAAGCGGGGCGCCGCCATTTTTAAATCCCCGCTCGTTCGAACCCAGTGCTGCGCGGCTACACGCGGCATGAACTAGGTAGTTCGAACTAGGCTTCCTAGTTCGTGCCGCG